GAAATTTCTTTTAAAAAACACGATAAATTTATAATTTATTTGTTTTTAACTTTGGACGAGGAACTAAACAAATATAATTTTCTATATTATAATATCCGTGCGAGCATCCATGTTTAAAACGTTTAATATTTAGTTTCGTTTAATATTTATTTCGTTTAACCACGAACACAAACAACCTATGCCTCGTGCATTTTCTTTCGGTGTAATTACAGGAACAGATGTCTTACTGTACTCGATTTTTTTACTTATTCCGATAAGGTAGCTAAAAGCTAAAATTCGGCCAATTACTAAAGAACCATCTTCTGTTTTGATTCTGTAAACATTCGATACCGTCCGGCTGAAAAAACTTATACAAGAAAATGTACAAGTTCTTGTACATGTTCAAGCAATGTTCTTGAACAAGTTCAGCATCCGGAATTGAGACATGTTCTTGTACCAGAACTTGTACAAGATCCTGGATAAGAAAATATACTTGTACAAGAAAATATATACATGTTCTTGTATATATTTTTTGTGCAGATTTCATGTACAAGTACTTTTACATGAACACGTTAATGTTATTGTGCAAGAAAATTTATTCAAAAATGTTTTTAAAAAAAATTTGAAATTTTAATAAGTTATAATTTTTAAGACTCTTCACTTATGGATGCTAAAAATTATTGCGCAGCTGTAAGGGCTTAAGAAAACTACTGCGCAGCCTTTAAAGTTTTTAATTTTTAATTTAAAAGACATAAATGAACATGTACAAGAACATGTTCCACATCTGGTACTAGAAAATGTACATGAAAACTGCACAAATAAAATATGTACAAGAACATGTATACATTTTCTTATACAAGTATATTTTCTTGTCCAGGATCTTGTACAAGTTCTGGTACACGAACATGTCTCAATTCCGGATGCTGAACTTGTTTAAGAACATTACTTGAATATGTACAAGTTCATTACTTGAACATGTACAAGTTCATTACTTGAACATGTACAAGTTCATTAATGAACATGTACAAGTTTTTTCAGCCGGGCGCCACCTATGGCAAAGTTGCTATACTTCAGCATCAACTGCCGCGCTACATTTGAACAAGTGTTTAAAATTTTTACTTATATTAACAGTTTTTGCTTTAATTTTCTTTAAATTTTTTAAAGTATTTCACCATAATATCACAATATTACAAGTATTACACAGTATTACATGGTATTACACAATAATACTTATTATTACAAGACATTACAAAATATTACAGATATTACAGCTATTACCGAGTATTACCAGGCAAGTGTACACTTGACTGCCAGAGTAAATTCCCCCTCGAGATAATGTTAATTTCTTAATTGACAATTGTTAAAAATAGTCTAATTTACTTAAATTAATTGATTATTAAAAAAGAGCATAATATCAAAATTCAACACATTTCAAGTAAATTTTTTCTAAAAATTATATAAATGGGATATTCTACGTCAACCGGATCACTTCCAGACCCAAAATTGAGCAACAGAATGCGAATCTCAAGGCAGATTTGAAAAATTCAAAGTTGCGGATTCAATATGGCGATCAAAAATTTAAAAAAATCCTCAGATTCACTTGGAACTTGTTACTTGGGGGTTTTTGAGGTCGCTGATTACGAATTTAAAGTTAGATTGGAAAAATCAAATTTTTAGTGAAATATGAACAGTGCATTTTTTGAAAACTTATAACTATTGTACAACAGGGTGAAAAAAATTTTGACCTATATATGATTTCGAAATGTTTTTGCTTGCTCTTTCGAATGGTGCAAATTTTTTTTTTTTTTTTTTTAAATTCAAAATTTACCCTTTTTTGTGAAAATCAAAAATATTTTTGACTTGGATCCAGGAATTACGTTAACTTTCAATTGATAAGTTCAGAATTACGGTAACTTTATTTGTTTATAAAATATTTCATTTTTTATTAACATTAATTAGTTAATTAATTAATATCTCAAAAACAAAAAAAAAGGACATTTTTGTTTTTTTTGGTATTGAAGGTATATATATATATCTTAAGCTTCATTTTAATGTTGAAAAAAGGTCTTTATTAAAAAAAAAGTCAAAAATATTTTTGATTTTCACAAAAGGGGGTAAATTTTAAATTTTTAAAAAAAATTTTTGCATACACACAGAATAAACTTGAACTTAAAGCGATCTCCGAACGATACAAGAAAAATAATTTTTTAGGTTAAGAATCATGTCAAAATCTTGACAAATTAGGGTACGGTCACACGACTTTTGGAAAAACCATTCTTGTCTTTCTCTCTCCTATTACAGACGCATAAGTTTGTCTCACTCTGCATTTTCCGTCTTTGGGAAATGTAAGAAAATGCAGAGTGAGACAATCTTATGCCTCTGTCTTAGGAGAGAGAAAGACATGAATGGTTTTTCCAAAAGTCGTGTGACCGTACCTTTAATATACAACAATCAGTAGAACATCCAAATTGTGACACTTTGCATGAGGCTGAAGTCCGCAAAACGTTTTCAAAAACGAAAAATTAAAATAGAATTATTTTTTCATGTCAATTTTATCTCTAATTTTGATTTGCACATACTTTCAAGAAATTAATACTTTTATAAAAACCAGTTACCCCCGAATAACTTTAATTTTAACCCAAATTAATAAATATTGTCTAATTATTTTTTCGTTTTCGTTTATAAAAACGTTGCGGACTTCAGCATCATCTTTGCAGGGAATGTTAGCTTTTTTCGATACATGGAGGGAAACTAGAATAAAGAAATGCAGGGTGAGACAGTTGTAAAAAATATAAATATATGGCATATTTCGGACTTTCTACTAGAATTCCAGTGGAAATTTACAAAACATAAGAAACAAAACTTTAAATTTAAATAAAATTTATAAACTGTAATTAATTAAACAAAATCGTTCAAATAGATTTCTATATTTAAATTAAGAATTTTTTCTTCTAAGCGTGTCAAAATTTGGCGTTGCGAACACTTTTTTTTAACGTATCGATTTGTGTTGCGCGTTGTTTTAACACTATTTCTGGTGTTGTAATAACACTTTTTTTTCCCCGTGTCAACTTTATTCGAATTATCTGGATCATTTTTTGATAACTGATATTCTGTCATTCTGAGTATATTATAATTTTTACTTTGAGTTTGAAAAAAAAGAAAAATTGTATAATATAATATAATATTTTGGATCTTCTTATACAATAATTAATTAATCCCTAATAGCACGTAGCTTTACCGAAAGATTGCAGTGTAAGGTTACAGCAAGATTACACAATAAGATTATCGTAAGATTCCTCAGTAAGTTTGCACGGTAAGCTTGTAGCAAGGTTGGTGCAAGGTTACCAAATAACCTTGATTTAAACCTAAAATTTTTTTTTTAATGTTTCGTCTAATTTGTTATTTGTCAACCTTCCACCAACCTTACTACAAGTTTACAGTGCAAGCTTACTGAGCAATCTTGCGATAATCTTATTGTACAATGTTGCAGTAACCTTATACTGCAATCTTTCGGTAAGTTTACCATGCAAGGTTGGCTCAAATGGGACATTTGAAGCTTGCAGTAAGCTTACGGCAAGTTTACCGTGCAAGGTTGGCAATATTGCTCAGCAAGCTTACGTGCTATTTGTGATATAAGTAAATTAGACTATTTTGAACAATTATCACAATGAAGAAATTGACATTATCTATATTTATTTCCCAATTTTTAAAATCTAGCATAATTTGAAGTTAAAGAATTCAAAAAGATAGAGTAAAAAAAAGTTTCTCAATATTTTGTTAAAAACTTATTTTATTTTAAAGTGTTGGATCCGTTAGCGTGTTAAATATAGTTCATTACAGCGCCATTAGCTGTATACAAATTTTAATATTCATAATCTGTTGTAAAATTTTATTGATACATTAATTATATACTTTAATCATGTACAATTTGTATTTTATATATTTTAAAGTGTATATATTGAGAAAATAATTTAATATTTATGTGAGTACAAAATTTATACGTAGAAATGTTAAAATCTGGCATATATATATATATGCATGCATGTGAACTGCTTTTGTCGTCAGTAGACAAAACGTATTACTTCAGCAGAATAACATAGAATTACATTATTATGGTAATTATATGGTGTCAGGGTAAATTTGTAAGCAAGTAGTATTTTCCTAATTCCATTAAACCTACTACATTTAAGTCTCATTAAAAATTATATACCAAACAAACGTTGGTGACATGAACATAATAAATATAAACACGTACTGTTTTATTTCTGACTATATATACTTGCATTTGATATCAAATTAAGAATTAAAAATATAAATCTTTTACTTAAATACTATCAAATCGATATATTTATAAATAATAGTGTATTAAGGACTTTTTCAACTAAATTTATTATTTTTATGTCTAGCTGACAATATATTTGAAGGTAAAAAACAAGACAACCATTCGCAGATTTTTCATATGATTGAATTTTCCTCAAACCGATTTTACTTTTGCCTCCAATTGTCATTTAACCAAATTGTTGTTTGAGGGAATTTGTATTTAATATGAATTTTTATTTAACAAAATTTTCATTTAATCGATAAGTTACATTGTACAAGTTGTAAATTTGAAAAATTTGATTTTTAATGGTTTTCTATTTGTGTGTGTAATAATAATAATAATTTGATGGAAATTTTTTTTCTTTCTTAGGTCATAGTTCAATAATAATTTTTTTGTTTTAATATAAAACGTTATCTATTTTTTCGAGGAAAATCCTTTTCAATATGAAATCTATAAATAATATATAAATATAATATTTAAAATAATGGTATATTTACAATTCGCCGATGGCTTTTATTTTCAATTTGATATTACATAATTATTATAATAAACACTAACCTTGTGTTATGTATTTCCATTCTTGAATAGAAATATATATGCGTGTTACTTATATTTATTTTTAAAAAAATATCAATTTTAATATTCTTAGTTTTATATTTAAATAATTCTCAATTGTAGAACAATATTGTGTTGTTTTTAAGGTTATGTAATTGTTGTGATTTTACACGTAAATATTCTCCGTATTGGTTTTTTCGTAAATTACTTGATAGATTGAACTAAAATTTTGTGATGAACTCAAAAATATAGTATAAGGGTGATTCTCTCAAAAAGGACAAATTACGCTTTTAAGATATTTTGTTAAAAAATATGAAAATTAATTGAAATTATTTAAAATTCTGTCAGCCATACGTTAGGATTTAACAATTTTCAATCGGACCACTAAAGAAAATTTTAAAAAAAGGTAAAATAACTGAAATATTGAATAAAAACTGATGTTACGGAATGGAGTTACGGAATAGAGTTTTAACACTATAGTTTTCATTCAATAATTGAAGCCATGCGTCGAAGAGGGGCCTAACTCATTTTTTATCGAATTTTAACTGTATTGAAAAATAGACTCTATTTAATATCCTCTTTCGAATTCTGCAATAAAAATTGTATAATTATAATATTATAACAGCGAACATTATAATTGAAAATCGTCTGTCGTGGATGAAGGATCTAACTGTTTTCGACTGTCAACTTTTTTACAATAGGTTATAATTTATCGGTATAATAAATAACAGAAAAATGTCTAGAAAAAGAAAAAGTAATCCTTCCGAATGGAAAGACAACAAAAGAAAAATATTAAAAGATGCGGGAAAAGCATATGAAACTCGAAATGGAAAACCGAAACAAGAGAAAATGAGTTCTAATTGTGTAAGTAATCAAATTATGGAAAAGGGATCTATCTGTCAGAAAAATAAATTTGTTATTGCTTTATTTTATTATAAACTTTAACAAATGTATATGCTGTATCATTCAAATTCGAAACTTTAACTTATTTTTTATTACTAATTGAACTTAGTGTTTGAACCTAATATTTCATTATTTTTAATAGTTTTAATTTAAAAAATACAAAAATCTTTTAAAATAATAATTTTAGTAATTTGTTATAAAATCCTTCTTCTTGTACTATTATTAGATATTATTTTGAAACGGTGATTTTATATTATAGGACCGTGTTTGTAAATGCTATTATGAAGGATGTGCTTTATTAACAAAAGATTTAAAAGCAGAATTGTTCGACAAATTTTATGCCTGTAATTATAATGCTCAATCGGCCATTCTTCTTTCTTGTTTGAGTTCAGTTCCAAAGAAGAATGCAAAAAATAAAGAAATTGAATCTGTGGAATCAACATCTCGTCGATTGAATAGTTTTAATTACACAATCCGTTTATCTAATGGTGAAACTAAAAAAATTTGTCAGAAAACTCTGTGTGATATTTATGCTGTATCACACAAGCGGATTCAAAACCTTCAGAAGAAGATGAAAGATGGTAAAGTGGATCCTAAAGACGAAAGAGGAAAACATTTGAATAGACCACATCGCATAATTGAAGACACTCGACATCTTGTTCGAGAACATATTAAATCCTTTCCACAAATGGAAAATCATTACAGTCAAAATAAAATTTCTACCGATAATCGAATGTATTTAAATTCTTCATTGACTTTGAACAAAATGTTTCGTTTATTTCAAGAAAAGAACCCAGAATCTGATGTTAAATTTTGGCTTTACAGGGAAGTTTTTCTTAATGATTTTAATTTGAAGATTGGTCTGCCTAGGTCTGATACTTGTAAAACTTGTGACAGTTTATACATACAATTATTAGCAACTGAAGATATAGAAAAAAGAAAAGAAATCGAAGCGATAAGTGAAACTCATCATTTAAAAGCAGAAAATGGATATGCCTCCCTGAAAAAAGATGGAGAAAATAGTAAAATAAATCCAAATACGGTAGTTTTATGCGTCGATTTGCAGCAAGTAATGTATTTACCTATGTTGACACACTCAAGTATTTTCTACCAAAGGCAATTGTCCTGCTACAACTTTGCAGTTCATAATCCTTCTACAAAACATGCGCAAATGTTCTTATGGCACGAAGGAATCGCAAAAAGGGGCGCTTTAGAAATATCATCCTGTATTTTACAGTACATTAAACAAAATTACCAAAAACTGAATGAAAATGAAGAAAGAACATTAATCATTTGGTCTGACAGATGTGTTGGTCAAAACAACAATTGGACAACTATATCTTTATTGTTCTATTTAATTCATGAACGCTATTTCACATCAGCAGAACAAAAATTTTTAGTATCAGGTCATTCATTTTTACCTTGCGATCGTGACTTTGCTCTTATTCAAAGAATGGTAAACAAAGAAGCTGCTTAAGTTCCATCACAATTGTTACCAATAATCGCTAATGCTCGTCCGTCAAAACCATTTGAAGTAACTTTAATGGAACGGGAAGACTTTTTTGATTTCAGTGCACTTACAAATAGTATTAAAGCAAGTTCTCAATTAAAAGTTACAAAAGTTGCTTGGTTACAACTGAGAAAAGATGATCCGAACAGTATTTATGCCAGAGAATCACACGATATTACCAAGTCTTGGAAAATATATCGCATAATACCAGTTTTAAAGAATGGTCAACTAAAACGAAAAATTTGCATCCCATGTGTTCTACCACTTGCGTATTCGAAACCCTTACAGATTAAGCCAGAAAAAGCCAACGATTTAAAAGATATGTTACCATATCTTTCTCCACAATACCGACAGTTTTATGAAAATTTGTTAACAATTGAATAATTTGTTTTATTATATAATCTAATTAGTAAATAAAATTTATTTAGAAGGAATTTTGACACATTTTTATAAATTTATTGATATTTTAATAGTAAAAGAATAAAAGTTTCAAAGTGGAAATTTTATATTTTAATATTTTATAAAAAATTATATTTCATAAACTAGTTCCAAAAGTTAATTTTTATACTTTGTCATAAATATAAAAATAATTAAAAGATATCTTCTACAAGAACATTCATAAAAACATGATTTATGAATAAAAAATCTTAGTATCGTGGAAGAAGGATCTAAGTAGAATCGTCAGTTAGATCCCTCTTCCACTGTAAGAAAGAATTTTCCACTTTATTTTTATAAAATAAAGAAAATATGACAGAAATACATTATAGAATAGTTTTTTAACCTCTTTTAAAATATTTCCAATAGTTATTTGCTCAAAATAACCCAAATTTCACTTTTTATCATTTTTCTCGAAATTGACATTTTCACGGTTAGGCCCCTCTTCGACGCATGGCTTCAATTCAGTTGTTTGCCATTTTTTTGAAAATTTCTTTAGTGATCCCATAAAAATTTGTTGAATTTTATCGTATGGCTGGGAGAATGTTTATTAATTGAAATTAATGTTATTATTTTTTAACAAAAACCTCGTCCAAAAAATTGTGCACAAGTAATTTGTTCTTTTTGAGAGAATCACCCATAAGGATTCATTATGTAATGTGCAGAGACAATTATTGAAATCGGTGGCGGTCTCTGAAATTTTTTGGCATTTAATTATCGCCCTATAAAAACGGCACTGAACGTAAAAATGATAAATATTGATTTTAAAATACTTTTTTTTCGAAACGCGGACACTTTTTACAAAATCGTACCAAGGATCCTTATCTTATAAATTTCCTAAATCCGAAAGATTGTGCAAATCTATACAAAAACGCGATTGTAAAACGAAAAGCAGGAAAGTAATATAATGACAGCTGCGACATTCGGACATTGTGCTCCCTGCATGCTTCCGCCACCTAACGGTTGCAGGACGTAATGAAGCTGTCATTATATTACTTTCCTACTTTTCGTTTTACAATCGAGTTTTTGTATAGATTTACACAATCTTTCGAATTTAGAAAATTTATAAGATATAAGGATCCTTTTTTGTCCGATTTTGTAAGAAGTATTTTTAGTTCGAGAAAAAGGTATTTTAAAATCAATGTTTACCATTTTCACGTTCAGTGCCGTTTTTATAGGGCGATAATTAAAGGCCTCTCTTTGCCAAAGAATTTCAAAGACCGTTCGACACTCTTAAGTCGAGTATATTCTTTGCGGCCATAATAGATATTGATACCAAGGTTGGTGTAAAAAAAAATACCGCATTTTTTTCTAAAAATGGTACACAAATCTCTTCAACGTAAACATGGAAAAGTTTTGTTTACAAATAAATTTTTCTTTTGGACAAATCTTGTAGTAGTTTGATAAAGCTTTTTTTTACAATTGTAAGAGCACAAAGATATAGTATGAAATTAGCGTCGCAACACAGTAGAATAATTGAAGTGATGAGGTGAGGTGAAATGGGACCAGAGAGAAAGACTCGATTGCGAATCAGGGATATATATGTGTGTGTGTATTGGTTTCAGGAGTTGGAAATTCCAAAAGCACGTAGAAGACGAGTAATAATACTGTGCCAGCACACGAATTGGAGTAGCCGGGGGTTCTGCGAAAAAGCGGTCGACAGACGAACATACGAACGGACAGACAGCAAGCGCAGAGGGCTTTCGCGAAGAGGGGTACCTAAAAGGGCCCGGTTTCGTGCAATTACGGAGGTCCCAGAGGCCTCAACCCCAACATTATCCCCAATTATCCGCGTACGTTTGAGGTTAGGTTTTCGGGCCTGTAGGAAAAGGTAACCAAAGCCGCGGGCAGAGATCGCGACCGACCTAGCATATATATATATAGAGAGAGAAGAATTTTCGACTCGGATGGATGGCCCATTATGTGGCGTCTGGCGTCAAGTTAAGTTTTCAACTTGTACGAATAGACTTTGGAGAATGTTTCGGGGGTCCGACTAGAATTGGCCGTGAGGCAAAAAGGGACCATTGATCCAAAGAAGAACACATCGATAATTATTTTCCCGCCGCACCGACAAGCAAGCACCTCTCATGTCGAATTGGGAGGAAAGGGTTTAAGCCGCGGGCCTTGCGGAATTAGAATTAGGAAGGCCTGTTTTGAGAACACGAAGGTCTTGTTTCCTTCGGAATTCTTTTTAGATCGAAACACTTCGGTAGCAGTAGCCTTGTAGAATGAATAAGCCAGCTTGTAAGTCATAAATGTTCGTATTTGCGATTTTATCACATATAAGCAGCTTCTATAAAAGATTGAAAGGATTTGGCAGAGCGTGAAAGGACCCGATTGTATATTAGTGTTTTATAAATGAACGAAAATGGGCCACTATACATGAAAATGGTTTTGGAGGTTATGTATATTATGTGAGGGGTTAGCGTGCTAAGGAAGATTTACATCCTCAGCGCCGGAAAAGGTACCAAGTTTCCGGTAGTGGTATATAGTCATAAAGCGTGTTCTACCCGGAACAGGTCGATACCGCGTGCCATGCTCTGGAAAACCAACGTCCTCGCACACTGGCTCTGCATAAATACGAACTTTGCTATTTTACGGCCTAATGTCGTGTCTTCTGAACATTCGCAGGAAATTTTCGTATTTGCCTTCTTCTATCGAATATCCACGATACTTGCGACAAAACTACGTTTCCATTGGCGTGAAAATTCTATATATTCAAACTAACAGCTTCCACTGTTTCCTGTCATCGTAAAGTAGATTAAAATCAATTTCTAAAGAAACAATTTTACTTCAAACACTCAGTGTACTTCAACACACCGCACTTTTTACACTTTTTTCCTATAACAAACGCATACAATCTACAATAATTCTAACATATTTATTTATGTATAAAAATTTATTTAAGGTAAAGTTAGGAATATACATTTGCGTCCCACTTTGAAAATTAGCTCTCAATTCAATAATTACTTATATTTTCATGTCGTTATTTGTACATTATTATTTACTTTTTTTTACGGACCAATATGTAATTAATTAAAATGAAAATACGACAGGTGTAAATTGTTGCTTCCTAAATTAATAACACCATTTTTTTTTATAATTGTAAAAAAATTTTCCGAAAAAATACAGACAGCACAGAACCCCATTGGATGAAACATTTTTCAAAGAAATAATTGGATTTATCTCCGACATATTACGGAAATTTTTCTTACCAATGCGAGTCGAATTTTTTTCGTATTTGTCGGGGATAATTTTACCTCATATTCACTTGGAATTTTTTTCAAATCCATCGAAAATTTATCCTAATAATTATAGTCTAATTTTGTTTGCTATATTTGTCGGATATTTTCCCTCATGCACCCTGAAAAAATAAGATTTCTTTGATTTAAAGAAACCAATTTTTTTGACTAGGTTTTCTTTCATTCAAAATAAAATTTTCTTTGAAACAAAAAACACTTCTTAGTTTCAAAGAAATTTTTGCATTAAATCAAAAAAATTCTAACATTGATGTAGGGTCAAAGAAACATATATCTGAATTAAATAAAAAAAATTTTTGAAATGAAGATAATTTTCCTTTTAACCAAAGATAATCTGTTTGAAAGAAATAAATTTTTTATTTGTATCAAAGAAAAATTTGTCAAAGAAATTGATTTCTTTGAATCAAAGAAATCTTTTTTCTTGGTATTTTTTCCGAATAAAGTAATTATTCTTAAGAATTGAGAAATTAAAGTTTCAAATAATGTTAAAATTTAAAAACAAAAATAATCAAATTTTAACATATTTATGGGCACAAAGATAATTTAAAAAATCGTTTCTCTTTTTCTATTGTTTGTAAATACCTATGCAAAAAAAAAAGATTGAATGAAACATGTAATATTATAATATTACATGTAATAATAACATGCTATAGCATGTTATTCATAAGTTACGTCAGATTCTTATATACATATAGTAGTGGGGAGAAGGTTAAATTTTTTTCTATACTCACTGTATAATTAATATAATCAATGGTATTTCAAATATAAAATCAATAGTATAAAGTTTCAATTCGTCGACATTTTTTTTTATTTTAATATAATTTTTAACGGTGTTACTCTCTAAATCTGAATTAGTAAAAATGTTTACTAATTTGAATTAGTTACTCACTTTTTGTTTCTAAATTAGTTAAATTTTTCTAATTGTTAGTAAAAGTTACTAATAATTAGTAAAAATTTTACTAATTCAGAAGCAAAAAGTGAGTCACTAATTCAAATTAGTAAACATTTTTACTAATTCAGATTTAGAGAGTAGGAAAGAAACTTAAGGGGTTACATGGGCCTAGAAGGCAAAAAATCGTATAGATTTTATTTTTTATTTTATTCGATCGCTTGAACACCTTAATGTACCTTAATAAAGTATATAAAAAGGGGAATGTTTTAATTTCTGAGTAAAAACGTTAAAAATTCAAAATTTTTAAATTAAAACTTTCATTGAGCGATGTAAATATGTAAAATATATAATTTGAAGATGAATAATAAAGTATGCTTGATATATATAGTTTGACTTACATTTTGATCTTGTGTTCTATATTTCATTCAGTTCTGTTAAAATATATACGTATGTTAATGGAATTTTTGAACAATTATTTTTTGAAATGTGAGTGTAAAAAAAAATCTCTATCTTTTATAGCGAATCTCAGTAAACATGTTGCTTTGCGAGTTTCGTTGCAAGGAACGCAATACCCCATACTGTGGTTCGGTGCCTATCAATCACTTGGTGCATGGTCCGGCAATAAGACTCAGGAGGGGCTATTATCCTGCCAGACTCTTGTGATGCACGACCTCCCGTCCTGAGAGGACCTTAAGCCCTTTATAGACGACGAAGACGCCTCAGTAAAATTTCCCAAGGTTTGAGAGTCATCAAAAACTAGAATAAAAATTTACTTTTACTGTATGCGCGCGCACTAACTTTTTTTTATTAACTCAATAATTATGCGTATATATTTAGAAATTAAAAAGAATTTTTTAAAAACATTTTTTCCACAGAAGAAAAGTATTATTTAATACGAATGTGATTATTAGGTCTGAATAATGTTAATTTTTTCGACCACTTTTCTCGTATAAAATACAAATTTTGTGAAATCAAAAATATGATAAGAAAGGGCGAGACTGATTTTCCAATAACTTGCAAATTATTTAAACTAATATTTCGCTCTTGTCCTTTTTACCCAATCACATCCGGATTTTGACATAACCTCAAAAAACCTTCACAGGAAGAGAAAAATAAAAAATAATTCTAACCTAGAATTTGAACCATATGTTTATTACACGTTTTTTGGGGTCGATAAAACCAACTCCACTTGTCCAATTTACCCCATAACATCAGGTTGTTGAGATAAACTAAAAAATCTTATAACCTAAAATTTAATTAATCTCTGATCTCAAAACATACAGTAAACATGATTTAGAATCCCGGAGGATTGAATTATTTTCTATTTTTGTGCTCCTGTGATAGTTTTTTGAGGTTATATCAAAAACCTAACGTAATGGGGTAAAATGAACATTGGATTCGATTTAGCGACCCGAAAACGAATAATCAACGTTATCTGAATCCTGCGTTGAATTATTTTTTATTTTTCTAATTTTTTTATTCCTATGGAGGATTTTTTAGGTTATGTCAAAATCCTGACGTGCTGGGGTAAAATTGGCAGTGGATTCTGTTACAGCGATCACAAAAATCTATAAATAATAAACATGGTCTGTATCCCAGGCCTAAATTTTTATTTTGTAATCTTTAAACTAAATCTTAATTCAAATACAAATCTATAATTTACGCGCAAAAAAATTTTCACTTGGAACAGTGATATATTTTTCTAGAATAGAGAAAACTTTCGCTGTTTTTTTTAGTGAAACATATCGCTGATCTAGGTGAAGATTTTTTTCCATATAAGACTAAGAATGATGATTTAATTATTTAATTTTTAAATTCTAATTTTTAATTTGAAAATAAATTATACAGGGTGATTTTTATGTTTCGGACCTCCTAAAATTTTTTTTTAATCCCCATTATTTTTGTTTAAATAACGAACAAAAAATGAGAATAAAAAAATTATTGTAGGGAGTACGGAATATAAAAATCACACTGTATATTTCAATTATGATAAAAGCTATAATATTATTTTAAAAAGACTTCAAAACTCTTGAAAAAAATATAAACTAAAAAAAAATTTCAAATAATCAAATAATTACCCAGTTAACTTGAAATTATCTAATTGATATTAAAAATATACAGAAATTATTTATTCGAATATAGTTTATTAGATTTACATAAAAATTATTTGGTTCAAGTAAATATTTATTTGGTAATAACCGAACATTTGAAGCAAATAAATTTTTTTCAGCGTTGGAAAGACACACAAAATCTTTAAAATGAACTTTTAAGTAGATCGAGTCTATTTTCGTCAGACGTGTGCGCAACTATTACTATATTCTAACAGTACATTGATTTTGTGATAAACGTCCAATTAATCTGTCAATAAAAATTTTATCCTATTCACGATAATAAGCCCAATAATTTTATCTTTGTATACTGAATGTTTATATTATTACGTAAAAATAAATATTAATAATATAAAAAAAATCTCTTTTTTTTTTTTTTTTTGCTTATTTATATTGGATGTTGGGTTAAAAAAAGTAATATCGATTGGGTTCTCAGAAATATAAGCGATCGCTATTAGCATAGGTGCGATGAGGTATGAGGTTAGCCTCATACCTAATCGTCGCGTGATTCAAAAATTTTCAACCTTTCGTGACGGCGACTATGCAGTTTCGCCGAATGCGTGAACATGCGTACATTACCATAAACATACATATATACATGTGTGTGTATGTATGCGCGAATATTTGAATGGGAGTAGGACACGCAATTCAACACGATATATATATGTATATAAATGTTGAAATATAATGATTTTATGTATACATTTTTTTAAAAATAATTTTTGAAAATTTCAAAATTTTAAAATATTTTCGTGATTTCAAGGTAAAATTTTTTTGTTATTAATTCAGGTTTCAAATGATACAATAAATTTTTTATCAATGCAATGCTTTTTTACTGTATCGGTTTTTACTAAATATACACTTAGAAAAAAAATCCTTAATTTAAACACAGATATCTGTTTGAACGATATTGTTTAATTTAACACAGTTTGTAAGTTTTATTTTAATATATGGAAAATATTTATCACTTTCATTTAAAAACATTATTTGTTTCAATGAAAATTAGATTAGTTGCGGTTTAAACTTAAGGGTTAGTTTAGAATGGGCGCAAGTAAATTTTAACTGGAAATATATACTACTAGAAGAACTAGAACGTCCGAAATATGCCATATCTTTATATTTTTGACAACTGCCTCACCCTGCTGTTCTTTATTCTAGTTCCCCGCCCTGTATCAAAAAAAGCTACCATTCCCTGCAAAGTGTCACAATTGGGATATTTCACTGATTATTTTATATTTATTGTTGATAAGATTTTGTTATGATAATTTTTATCCAAAGTGCGCAATATGGTACAAATAAAATAATGTATCAGATTAACCCAAAGAATTATTTTTCAATTAATATATTCAACTGCATACCAAAGAATATATACTAATTCTGAATCAAACAAAATTAATGTTTAAAAGAAATATATTTTATCAATAAAAATTGTATTATTAAATTAAATTTAAAAAAATATGTTTGAACTAAAAATATCGTTTTCTCAATGTGTATAAAAATATCTATTATAAATTCCACAGAAAAAACGTACAAAATATTATATTTACAAAATTCAAATTTTATTCTTACTCTCATGCTATATTTGCCTGATATATACTACGCAGTATAATGAAAAATGTTATTTTATATGAATAGGAAGTAAATTATTAAATTAAATCTTAAAATAAATCTTTATTTTAATAAGATGCGCAAAACATTTGAAAAAATAAACAGCTTTTGTTGATTTTTAAGCACTTTTTAATACTAATTATTGTATAATATACTAATAATATTGATGTACGTAGATTAAGGCTCAATTAAAATTTTATTTTCACTCATTTTAAATTTATATTAATAGATTTTTATATATTTCAAAAGCTTCTTTAATTTCGTACGTATTGTAAAATTACACAGGAAAAACCTTGGATAAATTTTGTTGCGGATAATTTTAACCAATGCTAATATTCACAACAGACGGTGGCGCCCTCGCAACTAGGATAAAATTTGTTGCACTTAATTTTTATACAGAATTTGGGTTAAAAGTTCTACTTTCTTTTCATGTGTTGTAACTTATTTGAATTAGTGACTCACTTTTTGCTTTTGAATTAGTTCAATTTTACTAATTCAGATTTAGAAAGTAAATATTTAATTTTAAGAAAATAATTTTTATTTATTTGATTATATAAATAATAATAATATTAATAATAATAATAAATAATAATAAGATAATTATAAGAATTAAATCATTTTTTGAATGTATTAATTTAACTAAAAAAAATTTTTTTTTCTAATATTGGGGATTAATCATCCGCTTAATCGGTTGAAAAAAATTGGAAGCGTACGTTTGTCTTTTACTGTGTGTATTAAATTCAGTCCATTTGAAGCATCTAATAAATCAACAAAGTACCTTCATAGGAAACCAATAAGCATGAATGCAACTTTTAATGATCTAATAAAAATAAGAAAATTACTCCTAATTAATATTATTTAGTAGTAATATTGTTTTAGTAATAAATATTTTAGTAACATATTGGTTATAAATTGGTCCTTATATATATATTTTTTTTTTATCATTTTTGGAAATGTATATATATATTAATTCACACAACAAATCTTGAAGAGATTTTTTGTACTTTTATGAAGCATTGTATGCCTTCGTTTTTTAATAAAGGGCTCAGGCATAAATAGGCATCGAGATTCTGATATATTTGTAAGAACGTTCTATAAGAAGGGTATATGTATATAATTATATTCAGAATGACATGCAAATGAAAACCGGTGTTGAACCGAGTCTGGTTTTAAGGGCGTCGCCCTGAAATTCTGCTCGGTTGGTTGGTTGAAAGAACATAGTGGAGGCGGCGCATCTGTCGGCTGTAAGATTTATATTGCGAGGTCTCTGGACTGGTACGGTTACCTATGCTTGGCAAAATGAAGATAATCATGCATACAACTATTTAACGTTTTTAACAAAAAAAAGTGCCTGATTTTTTTTAACTAAATGAAACTAATAAACATAACTATAATGAACAAAAAGAAAACATCAGTTTTATATTTTTAATGTATATATATATATATATATATATATATATATATATATATATAATATATATATATATAGGCTAAAGTCATGAACATTAAATTAACCTACTAAAAAGATATGGTGTTTAGTTTTGTATAAGTTATTTCTTAAATTCTCTGTACGCAGATAAAGTAAATGGTCTCTAAAAATTCTTGAATTTAAGAAAAAGGTCAGTAACTTAGAAATTGGATTTAATTGCAGTAGTTGATTGTTAGGTCACGTGATATTAAATCAACCACATTTCTCCTAAATTACTGAATGAATTGAGTTGATATTTTGTGGGAAAGTCTAAAATATGAAGTAGATGGGCTGTGATTTGCGAAAATTGTCAGAAAATTTGAGGTTAGGACAGTGGCATCATTGTTCGGATTATGTATTGATTTCCAAATATTTCATAACAATTATATTCTATATTATTATAATATATTATTATATTTTCACAGCTTTTCCTCTTCATATTTTTAGACTTATCCACAAAATATTAACTCAATCCATTCAGTATTAATCACGCGACGTAACAGTCACATGCTTTTAAACAAAGTCCCGAAGTAGAAAAAGTAAATTCCAAACAGACATTAGCGAGAAAACTT